ATCAGCGTCATTACTATGCGGATATTCAAGTATTGTGCTGGGTCTTGCAACATAACAGCGACGATATTAGAGGTACCTACCCGAGTAGTATTCAAACAAAAAAAAAACAAAAAATGCGCTAAAAAGCCTCTTTTCTTAGGTTTATTTAGAATGTCGCAATAGCACTGGCATGCATAGATCACAAATCAAATACAAACTGTCATAATGAGACAGGCAAATATAACTATGATCGGAATGTGGTCATTCAGACTCGTGCAACAACAACCTTCAGGTTGATGTCACAGCTAAACACAGAGTCGCAATATTGATCGCCTTCCAAGACAGAGCAGAGACAGCTGGGACAACGAAGACCACCGCTGCCTCACCTCGGCAGCTGTACAGTGTACCCATCTCAAGGTCGAAAGGTTATGAAAGGGAAATTTTGGGAAATTTCCCAAATACTAAACAAGAAATAATTGGAGAGCTGTGATTTGCGCTAAGGAAACTTGAGCAATATCCGGTAAAAAGCAGTCACAAAAGAGCGGCACTAACCGTACGAGTGAGAGGCAGGCAGAAACTGAACACATGCTTCATCATTTTCAGATTTCTTTAATGTGCGTAAAAATAAATTAAATCCTGATGTATATCAAGAACAAGAATTTGACTGCCTCAATTGTTAAAACATATTGAAACAATTTAATTGATTGACGCTTATAATAAGCTTTTGACGTATTTGAAGGAAACTAGCAAATAAGTTTAGGGAGCACAAGGGTAATTGAAACGTTTATACATTACACAAATAGAAAATCCCATCGGACACTGAAGAAAATAAGCCTTTCTTTAAACGCCCGTTACCACTTCAACCACTACCAGCATAAAAAATTGTTTTCTTTAAAAAACACAAGTGGTTTTTTAAAAGGCGATAATCTTTCTATGAATGTTCTAGTTCAAGCAGACTATGAGATAATTAATTCGATTCACTCTTATGGAAGACTTGCGCTCGGACAAGTACTAAACCTCTTGAATGAACATTACCCACCGCAAAAAAAAACTTGGGACTGATATCTGCTATTGCGACACCAAACCATTGCAAATGACGAGACCAATAGTCACATCAATGGATGACCAGGTTAAATAAGTCAGTCAAATAACAAGAGAAGAGGACGAAACGAGAAAGAACAAAACAAACTGAAAGAAAAATGAACAAAGACGAGCAGCGGCGCACGTTCTACCTCCGTATTGATCGTGAAGGGCAAGCTGTCATGCCAGGACCGGGAGCCACGGCCAAGCAATCCAATGAAGCTGACAGCATCTATGGCAGCTGACGTCAAATAACTTTCAGCAGGGCTGTCAGCAAGAGCACCATCACGTCAGCAACACCAAATCGCTTGATGTCTACAAGACAACACTATATACGAAACTTGGTCCATAGTTGTGTCTGTAGAGTTAACCTGTCACTAAAAGGTATTCAACCTAATCGAATGCAACTATAAGCCCAACCAGAAACAACACCTTCATTTAAACGGCAATGAATACATTTGATATACCCGCAACACATTACCAGCAAGATATCAAGCAATACAACTATTTTCAAGGCAGCAACCAAGGCAGTTTGAGGTGCGTCCATCACAGGTATAGTTGCGCAACACAGGGATGAGCTTCATCAGCTCATGAATCATGGTTCATCTCCGCAGCGGATTGTGTAGTCAGGTGTATGCATGACGCGGCATCACTCAAGAACTCACTAAATATTTACAGCGTGTAATGACTCATACTTTGATACTAGCTCATTTGAATGCTTCCGACATGGAACAAAAAAAAAATAAATTGCGATTTTCCGTTCTGAAGTATCACAGTACAGAAAACCCTCCAACTAGAGCAGGATTCCACAAAAAATACCAATTAACTCACGCGTTGAGAATCATGTAATGAAGTCAAGCAAGAGGATATTGAGGTACCAGTTCATTTGCAGTGTGGCGCAGGATGGAACGACATAGCAAGGTTTGATCATCAGATAAATTGTGAATATGATCTCATAGAATCCGTTTTAATTGAGAAGAACTTAGAGTTCCCCTTCTCCGTACCGCCGGTCGTGAACTGACAGCTCAGTAATTTACGACGTCTGTTTCCTATCATATCTTCCACAACCAGGGCATTTGAGCAGTCAGTATACGGGATTTTCACTCCACATGAGAGTATGCTCGTATATAACTAGTTTTTGGTGGCAAATTATCTATATCTACAAAATGGAAGTTTATTCAGATAAAGATTCAACACAGATCAATAGAGAAAGAACAGCACTACTTCTTTAAGTCTCACAAATTTAGGCAAGTCGCATGTAAAATGAACAGCGTAGAACAACATTTACCGCCATCGTAACTAATGTCATACAAAGTTTACATATTTTTGGTTGCTGTATAAAAGTTGTAAATAAATAGCTGAATAAGCAAGACATTTTTCAGACTGATATTTCATTTGAAAAAAGGAGTTATAATGAGTCAACTTGTGATAGAATTTCATAGGGCACCAGTCAAGCCTGCCTGATAGCGGTTCTGAACCTGGACCCTAAAGCTGAGCATCTCTTGCATGTGCCAAACCCGGCAGCTCCTACCCTTCTCTAGTCCTTGGACTGGAGCCCGCACACACATGGAAACAGGACCATGTTGTCGTGTATCTCAAATAGAGGCTTGGTTATATCAAACTTCACTTAAAAATAGCACTATACAGAGGAAATAAGTAAGTCCGAATAATGCTCGCCGATGCGTAAGAACAAACTTAGCCAACCTAAGAGGAAAATTAGACAGAAATTCTGAAAACATATGTGCCTCGCACAGATGAAAACAAAATGGAAAATAAACTTCTACCTCTGATCATTTTTTCCCGCCCCACCACAGACAAAATTAGGAAAAGATGGCATTGTTCACGGTGCAGATAGAAATACGTAGTACGCTACTTAGGTCAAAGAGTTCGTCAACGCCAATCACGTTGCTCCAACAGACGAACGACCTTTGTAGGTACTCAAACCCAGTATCGTGTCTCGACGAGTTCTCAAGATATCAAAATTTTTGATTTAGCAAAATAATTGCGTATAATATTTCTGAGTAAACAAAATTCGACAGTGCAATGTCATCTAACGTCGTTTAAATGACCAAATCGCATCGTATAACTGGTAGGTGTAAGCTCTTATGGCTTCTCTCAAACTCAGTCAAGGCATCGAACAGTCGCTCCACCAGCACATGAGAATCGAGGCAATCTCGCACTCGCTGACCTGCAAGGCAAGGTTGCGGGGAGCTTCGTTTCTTCGCAGTTTGAATTCAGTGCCAATAATGAATGGTTCACGACCCTGCAGCGTGCTTCGTATACTATATACCGTACACCCAATATGATTTTCCGATTAATCTTGTTTACACGACAGAAAATTGCCCAACAAAATCGTGTGATGTGTGAGCAAGAACTGGCTGAACGTTAGGCTGAATTACTTGAGATGGAGCCCCAAAAAATGGTTAAGGTGCAAATGATTGAAAAAAAACACGCCAGAATCAAATAAAATTCTTCCTGTTGCATATAAAATCAAACTTGGATAATTCGATATCTAATTATCTATTTCCTCCGTTGTCAAGGCACATATGGCTATCGTCGCATTAAATAAACGCAATTCGAGACTAAGATCCCGAACGAATTGTTTAGGTGACACTCCTAGACATTTAATTTCATCCTTTTGTGCTTTTCTGGCATAAAAAATATAAACCCCCGGGAATGTGAAACGAAATAATTTCTCCATTGAATTGTCACGGCACAATAGATTAATGAAGGCATTATCCATGGCAGTCCACAAGGAGGAGCGGCCAACAAAGGGAACAAAGAAACAACAGCGATGCCCCATAGCCTGGCGTGGCGGGCGAAAATACTGCGCCACACCACCACCAGCACCGCACAGTGCCAATACTATGCGACTAACTTTAGACGTGCTCACTCTCCCACGGTCTTGGCACTCCTCTATGGCACCAACCAACTCTGGGTATTTCTAGAACTCATTATTCCATCCAGTAGGATTTATATAAGCCGGCATCCCATGCATCATCAATGTCGTGACATTAAAATTTTTAGTTTAGTCTACTTAGTATACTGAACAGAATATTTTTATTACGCAAATGAAAGCACATCACGAATGTGCTTCAAGCACCCAATGGCTGTTTTAAAAAGAACGTACAAGTTAAAATGACACATTGCCAATTGGCCATTGTCACACGCAGCTCAGCAGACTATTGACTTGGATACAAGAGTACTAAGAGCTATAACAAAAAATAACTCATAGTTTGAAATGGAAGAAACGAGAATAGTGAGTGGAGTAAACTAATAAAACCAAGGCTTATCCTAACATAGAACGAGCCCTTAAAAAGGAGGAGTAATTGCGACGTATACAGCAGCGACCAGCAACTAGCTGTACTACATAAGCTGAATTCAGGACTAAGCCGAAGCAACAGAAGCGCTCAGAAGAGAGCTCGAAAGGGCTTGGCATGCGATGCATGAACATTCAACTGCTGTGCTATTCTTGGGAATGACGGCAGAGGTTAGGTTATTGTTTACCTCCTCAAAATTACGGCCAGCACATTGTTATTCTTATATAATATTCTAAGAAAACAGAACTATTATTATTAATTACTACTGAACTTTAAGACCACGAGCTCCTGACTAAATGACGCTGCAAAACTGTCACGTCCTAGCATAATTAGTCAATATGTCAGTCGAATGCAATGAAAATCTCACACAAAGAAGGAAGATCGCAAATACGTCCGACATGAATAAGAATCAACTGATAGCCAGTCAAATTATCATGCCACGAATGACAGGGCAAGTGTCAAAACAAAGGAATTGAGGCCGACATTGCAGTTGTTCAACAACCGAATGTTAGGACAACGAAGACAGAAGTAAAATACTAGGACAGGGTAAGACAGGATAAAAAATGCTGGTCAAACGTGATATCTTATTGCTCAATGTCTCCCAGCAGTAAGTTTACTCACCGTTTGTCGTGCTCCAGGTATTTCCTGCAACAAAAGAAACAAGTCAGTAAAATGAAGAGTTTATACTAGAGCTAAAACGCGAGACTCCAGTAACCAAACATAGACCACTCAAATATTAGCTCCTAACTAGCCAATAAATTTAGTTTCTTGGCAAAATATAGAAGCAAAAAGCATCCCAGTGTACATAACTAAACCAAACAAATGAGCCCTGATATCATTTACTACGACATGAAATGCAATAAAGTCCAACATGCTAGAAGAAATATCGACATCCCTGTCTCCTATCGCATTCAGGTACAGTATTTGTTCATAAAATCTTCGTTTTTTTTTCAGATAAATCAACGTAACCCTTGAAATAAATGAGCAATGAGTAATAAAATGTCGCTAAATTTCGCTCAATATTTTTTTTACGCACTATGACGTTAGCACTTTGCACAGTATGTTCATGGGACATTATTGCCAAAACGGTTCATTATTCATACATGAAGGAGACAGACAAACTATCGTGATAAAAATTGCTCTAAAATGTTTAAGAAGACCGCAGGTATGTTTTTGATGTAAATATCATAAGACGACAGACAACACGTGCAAGTGAACTATGAAGCGTTGCTATTTTCGACGAGCTTTGTTATTGCTGAAGCCTGGCGCGGCAAACACTGAGCACCAAGACCACACAAAGGCCTCTCAAAGGCAGGGCACGAGCGCACGTTAGGTGCTTCATGGAGGCAGTGAGGCGAGGAATGCCTGAACTTTGTTCCATTTAATAATAGAATTCATTAAATAATAAAATTCGTTAACAGTTAATAGCTTCTATCCCTCCCATTGCGTAACCAAGCACCAGGCCCTTCCGTCACGTGCATTTCCGATACATTTTTTTTCTTGTTGGATTTTAATATAAATCCTGTTTACTATCTCTATCTTTCAACGTCTTTTCTCCAAGCTTACAAGACCTGGTTTTCTCGTTGCGTTTCGTTCTTCCTCTTACAAAACTATTCTCTAGCACCTGAACCTTTCCAGTCACAGAAACCTCTTTCTTTGCGTCTCCCGCACCATATCCTTTACTGTTTGTCGTTGTTCGCCACACCCCTCTTCCCTTCCCCCAAGACCATCCACCCCATAGCAACCGGGACATTACACCCGACGCCTTACCAACTCCCTTTCCTGTTCCCCCTCCCTCCCCCCCCTAAACCGACCGCAGCTGAGGCTTCCATTGCTGATGTGCCACATCCGCAACCGCGAACAAAAAGTAAGCAAATGCATGGCACACTTGGAAGAAGTTTGGCAATGAGCGAGCAAAGGACACGGGCTGGCACTATACATGCATCGCTGCAAGACACGCACACCTCAAGCTGCTGGCCACTAATCGATACTCAACTTTAGTCTCTTTATAAACTTATTGCTAGTTCGCTCGAACTGTTACAGTCCAAACAATCAGTAAATCATTCGTAATAAATTGTAAATAATTTCGAATAAATGTGAGACAGTAACCTTAAATTAGTTTATATGAATGTTCTGTATCAGATATTTGGTACCGTATCACATTATTTTGCGAGTCAACTATACACGCGATATTTTTAATCCTTTTATATAAGCCTATGCAACCGAATTCAGGGAATTTAATTTCTTAAGATTGAATTGATTATATTTAAATCAGCAACTTCATATTTCATTTACCAATAATGCAACACGGTGCGCTCTTTATTTATTCAATAATGCGTAAAGGGCCAACAACACCCGCGAAACTAATTAGTCACCCACTCATTAGTATTTACATCAAAAAGTTAGCACAACAACCGAACAAAGCACGTTCGAAATCAAAATTAGAGTAGCACATTGCAGTTTCTATTTTGGTTTAAAGTGCGCGCATAGAGGCGCTAGTGTCATAAGAGGAACTGTCATGTGTCACATGACCTGGCGGTTCGTATGAACCGAGGACGACTTAGCCCAAATTAAATAAATATAATGCAAAGCCTCTTTAACACTTTCCGATATATAGGTAGATATAATATTCCATTAAGAGTATTAATTAAATGTTATATATACCTATATCTTAGAAAGTGTCCTTTGTTCACATTCCAGCACAGCAAAATTTGAGACAGACGATCATTATAGCGACTTGATACAAACAAATGTGGCAGTGCGGACATGAATGAATAGCACATTTGCAGTTAGGCGCGTGCTTATAAATAGCGGCATAAAAGAAAGACGTTTTAACGTCGGCAGCTTCCAAAGTTCAATACGAATCTGTGGCCTGATAGTATACGGGATTTTCACTCTACACGAGAGTATGCTCGAATATAACTAGTTTTTGGTGAAAAATATCTTTAAACTGAAGGATGATTCAGATGTGCATTCAATACCAATCAATAGAGAATAAATAGTACTCCATCCTTATGTCTCACAAATTTAGGTAAGTCGCATGTAAAATTAACATCGGTGTGTAACATTTTCTTCTTTCATATCTGATGCTAGACAAAGTTTACATCAATTTTGTTTCTGAATAGAAATTGCAAAAAATAGCTGAATAATCATGAAAATTTTCAGATTTATATTTTATTTACGAATTACGAACAGAATTATAAAGAGTAAACGTAGTGATAGAATCCCATAGGACACCAGCCTAGCCCGCCTGAGGGCTCCTGTTCTCAACCTGAACCTTTAAAGTACCTATTTGCACGGGAACCACAACAGGGAAAATCTTGCTTTAAAATGTTTTACAGACACACGCCATAACACGGCCGCTCTAATGGATCTGAAAGCGTGCTCGAGCATGACTTCTTTCGCAACGCAGGCTTACGTAAATACAACAAACGAGTTGTGCTGCTATGTGTAGAAACTAAGGTAAAACATGCAACGGGTTTATATACAAACAAGCTTTACTAGGAAGCACTGTATTCGAGAGAGTTGGACGTTTCTAAGCAAAACAGGCGTGAATACCTTTATATTTAAAACCCTCAAACAAACACATACTACACTTACTGTCGCCAGATATTACGTTAATGTAACGCACGGCGAGTAGGAAATAAAGCCAAGGCAGGGTTTCATTGCTGAAATTAAAGTGCGGCTAAAGGTCACCACAGTGTTGGTTAGGACAATGAAGGGCGGAAGCAGCCGCCGAGCCGCCGACAACGTGTTACGCTCAACATGATGGAAGTGGTACAGCAACACGACTCATCACCATGACACGCACAACCTGCTTGTCGTGACGCACCGTCATCACTCTCACCCTTCGCTTACTCGTCACGCTATCTCTTGGCTTCACTCCTAAAAGTTAACGCCGTTTATAACGTGATCGTAAATACCAAGATGGTCGGTAGTTCCCCGGTTCCGTTTTGGATGATATTACTTCAGTAAACCGACTCCGACTTCTGACCAGTAATTGTTTCCGGGAACATTGTTCCCAGTGGTGTAGTCAGAAGAAAATACAACGAAAAAATTCATGTACGGAAATTCAAACAGGAAATCCTAACCAAAATTTAAGGCAGCAGCAAAAAAGGCCAAATGGTAAAAATCGCTATTTCCAGAGATCTTTTCATGCTGAAAAAAAAATTAACGCTCATATACACCGGAGCATAAAACACCGGGAAATAGACCAAAGTCTTAACAGCGCTGCCACTGAATAAATGTCTTATAATCTCATCTTCATTCTTAAAACAGAACAGAGCAAGCACTGAATAAATGATTTATAATCTCATCTTCATTCCTAAAACAAAACAGAGCACGGAACAGGACGTTCGAGAATCCGAGAAGCCACGACACACAACGCGTCTGTTGCCCAGAAGCAGCGCGACGTGGGCGAGATGCGGGTGTTGTTTTCACGTGGCATCAGTGCGACGACCTCGTGTATGTACACAGCAGAGGTACATCGCATGTCTACGCAGTAAAAAAGTGAGATCAAAATTAACGGCATTTTTCTCTTCAATAGAGCTTTTTACTTGATATCTGGAGATGTCACTAAAAGAGTGAAGCAAAACTTCTGGAGATGACACTAAAATAATGAAGCACTTTCTGGAATTTTACATATTCTTAATTAAGTTTGTAAGTAAGTAGTTAAGACACAGCAGATAGAACTGTCTGCAGGTGTTAAGTTGTGACTCCTCATTTGTTCGACGAACTAAAAAACAAACAAACAAATAAGAACTAGAGGCAAAAAATCGAAGCAACACACACAAGCTAAAATATGTGACATTTCTTGCGGTGTAAACAGAGTGCGCTTACTGCGCTACCATGAACTTCAGTGAACGCTAGCCCGCTTCCACGAACCACCAACACGAAGTACCGAGCCAAAATCGATGAGCTTTTATCGTTGATACAGAGGCCATAGCACGCGCCATGGCTCACTATACCATCAATACGCACAATGGAACGGTACGCAAATCAAACGCAAAGGCAAAAACTTTTAACGTGGCCATCCATCTCTTTCATTGCATAGACTTGGGTTCTTTGACATGCACACGACAAAAAAAAGGCTGCGATTCTATACTGAAAGGTTCGTTTAATCTATACTAAATATATTTTCCAATTCACAATATTAGATGTTAACATAAGCAACAAATAGAATGCGTCTGAACTTTGGGTATTTTATACCGCCAGACCATTCATATCAGGCTCTTCAAAATACTCTCACTCAGGCAATTGTCAATCTGCCAAATCTGCAGGGCCGATGAAATCGATTCCTTCAAGTAAATTATTCCTAAATTTATACAAATGGTTTAGTGATTACGATTCACTGCTTAACCGTTACACGATAATTTTTTGACAAATATAGCGGGATATTTGATAAATACTCGCAACCCGGGAGATAGCAAATATGATGCCGGATATGTTGGTGGCACAAAGATCTCGTAGATGAGCGCCGGATCATTCATAACTTCTATTAATTCAACTGCCGGTGCATTAATCAAGTGACCGCGTACGTGTTTAGCATTACATTGACTCCGGCTTGGTCTGTAGACTAGACGTGAGTGAGCGCGCCTCCACACATGACGCCAGTCAAGGATAGGCAGAAGCCGAGGCGAGGCGTG